AATACCAGGAGAAGGCCAAAAGGGGCTTCAGAATGGCAAATGGATAGATGGCTCATTCAAAGCGATCATAACAGAAAAACGCCCAGATCTAGACAGAGGTAGAAAGATCGAGGCACAGGCTGGCCACAGGTCATAAGTCAGCTTTAACTTACTCCAGTCTACCCAAGACATAGTCAATCTCGCAAGGCTAACGATAAATAGAAGATTTTTGTTGCAGCAAGAAAAAGGAAACAGACAACACAGAAGACTGCCCCAGCTCATCTGACAGCAGGCTTCTCACCAGAAGCCTTACAAACTAAGAAAGAGTGGCCTGAGATTTTCACAGTTCTAAAGGAAAACATCTGCCAAGCAGGAGCACTGTACCCAGCCAAGCTGTACTCTGACAATGAAGAGGGGACAAAGATACCCCAATAAACACAATCTGAGAGAATGTATCTCCACCAAACCTGTACTAGAAGAAATGCTAAAAGAAGTTCTTCACTGAAAGAAAGAGACATTAACAGGGAAGAAGAAAACATCAGAAAATTTAAAACTCACTGGTAAGAGTAACCATCTAGACAAGTTCAGAATCCTTTAATTTGTGAATCTGGCACATAAACCATTCATATCTATAATATTAAGACTGAAAAACAAAACAACTATAAATAATAACTACATAAATATTAGAGACAGGCAAAAGAAAGATAAAGTAGGACATCAAAAATCAAAAATAGAGAGGAATGAAGAGCAAGTTGGTGTTCTGTATTAGTATTTTTTCTTCTTGTTTTGTTTCTTTTCTTAGCTTTATGATCACATAATGTGGCAACCATTTAAAAATAGCTGGTTATAATCGAAGCATATGGTTTGTCAGTATAATGGTAACTTTTAAGCAAAAATCTATACCAAAAATAATAAACAAGGAATCAAGACACACTATTAAAGTAAATCACTTAACCACAAAGGAAGACTATAAATGAGGGAGAAAAAAAGAACTAACATAAAACTAGAAAACAAGTTACAAATTGGCTATAGTAAGACCTTGCCTATTGATAACTACCTTAAATATAAGTGGATTAAATTCTCCAATTAAAATAGTGGCTGAATAAAATAAAACAAACAAAAACCAGCCAAGCAAGACCCAATTATATATGTTGTCTAAAGGCATTTCATCTCTAAGGGCACACACAGACTGAGAATAAAAGACTATAATAAAATATTCCATACAGGTGAAATCCAAGGAAAGTCATTATATAATGATAAAGGATCAATTCAGCAAGAGAAAATAACAATTCTAAATATACAAGCACCCAATATCGGAACATCCAACTACACAAAGCACATATTGATAGACCTAAAGGGAGAGACTAAATACAGTAAGAGTTGGGAAATTTAATACCCCAGTTTGAGGAATAGACAGGTCAACAAGACAGAAAACCAGTAAGGGATGAACAGGCTTAAATGGTGCCCTAGACCAAATGGACATAACAGACACCTACAGAATATTACATGCAAAAACTGCAGAATCTGCATTTTTCTCAACAGTGCATGAAATATTCTCTGGGACAGAGCATATATTAGGCCATAAAAATGCCTCAACACATTTTTAAAAAATTGAAGTCATATCAAATATTTTCTCTGATCACAATACAATAAAACTAGAAATCAATTGTCGGGAGCAATGCTAAATAATTTTAGGGAAAAATCATTTGATTAGGCCTAGTTCTCCTGCCTACAGGCCAGCTATGGTATTTTGAGACATAATTCCATTTTGGCCTCCGGTCACAACTGAGACCTCAATGATCCGGTGATGCTGTGATGCTCCAAGACAAGATTACACCAGCTGAAGACATCGTGGGAGAAACAAAATCTTCATCTACTCAGTTCCTCATTGTTCTTAGCTTTCCGCCACCCCCCCAGTCATTTGTTACACTTTGTTTATCCCGATGTACTAAACTCTCTACAAGCCATTTGTTACATCTGTTTCTCCTGATATACTAAAGAAAAGGTGCAGTAAGGTGGGGGCTTTCGTCTTTGCTGCCCAGAACAACACTGATCAGACCCAAAGCTCAGCTTCTTCTCAAAGTCTCATTTTTTCAACCTTTCCTGTATAATAAGTTAATTCACCTTGTGCTGCCATGGCTTGCAGGCGACTAAGACTTACTGCAGAGGTTCTAGTAATGTCCCCTTTCCCTGTTCCCTACAATCAATGACAGGAAAAACTTTGGAAACTATACAAATACAATATATCGAAATTAAACCACTTACTCCTGCACAACCAGTGGATCAGAGAAGAAATCAAGAAGAAAATTTTTAAATGCTTGAAACTAATGAAAATGGAAGTGGAACATACCAAAATATATGGGATACAGCAAAAGCCTTCTAGGATGGAATTTAAACAAATCAACACCTATGACAAAAAAAGCAGAGTGATCACAATTAAGTAAGCTATCAGTGCACCTTGAGCTGGAAAAACAAGAACCAAAGTCAAAATCAGCAGAAGGAAAGAAGTAATAAATCAGAACCAAAGTAAAAGCTATATAAATCATGCAAAAGATCAACAGAATAAAGAGCTGATTCCTCAATAATACCAGCAAACTTGGCAAACCTAGCTAGGCCAATTAAGAAAGAGAGAAGATTCAAGTAAGTAAAATCAGAGATGACAAGGAACATATTATAACTGTCAACACAGACAAAGAAAGGATCTTCAGAGAGTATTATGAGAAAGTATGTACTAACAAATTTGATAACACAGAAGAAAAGGACAAGTTTCTAGGCACATACACCTCAGCAAGACTGAATCATGGGGAAATCAAGAACCCAAACAGACTAGTAATGAATAACAAGACTGAATCAGTACTAAGAAGTCTCCCATCAGTGAAAAGTTTGGAACCACATGGCTTCACTGAAGAGTTCTACCAAACATTTAAAGAACTAATGCCAATCCTTCTTAGATTATGGTACAAAGTTTAGGAGGAGGGCAGTCTTCCAGATGCATTTCTATGGGGCCAGCATTACCCTGATCCCAAACCCAGATAAAGACACAACAAAAAAAGCAAATTAGGAGCCAGTATTCTTGATGAAGATACATGCAAAATCCTCAGCCAGATGCTGCTCTCTTTGGCAACTTATACTCCTGAGTTATATTACTTGATATGCTTACAATTCTTCCAGAAATAATTATGCTATAATTATGGTCCACTCCTTGGTCTGCAGAGCTGCACCACTGACTCTTTTTGAAAGTACATGAAGGCATCAAATAGCTCAATGTAAAAGAACTAATACCAATCCTTACTTTTACGTATGAGAAAAATGACTCCATTTTATTTTACTATAGGCTGTGTCATATCTTTTATAATGTACACAGCCCTGGAATATGTCTCTGAATGGCTATGGACTACATTTCTGAAGAATTTTATGTCAGGAGAACAATAGGATGCTAATGATTTGGATTCTGCCCCTTTTTAAGTTCCTCTTTTTTTGTTACTAGTTTTACAGATGTGTTCACAAATGCCTTAAGCAACATTTCCTTATAAATAATTTTATAAATAAAATTCTAAATCTGGAATAAAAGGCATACAGTATACAGGATTAGCCTGAACAGACAGAAGGTCTTGTTTCTGAATGACCTTAGTCAAGCCATTTAAATTCCCTGCCCCCCCTATTTTCCTATTAAATTGGAAAATTAACACTAAAACATTTAATGACACTTCTTATTGAGGAGTTAATTCAATATGAAGAAAGCTAACTTCTTAGAAGAGATACTAGTAAACTGCATGCATTTTTGAAGAATGAGGTGAGTATTAGCACAGGAAGAGAGAAAACTTGTTAGTCACCTCTTCTGGTTGCTCCATTTCATTTTAATCCATATACTACGTGAGGGTAGAAAGTGTGCTTCCGTTGTGAAAATATTCCACTTATTTAATAACTAATCTTTAATTATATTTTCTTTCCCAAATGTCTCCTTCAGTGATTCATAAACAGGAACAGCATAATGATGAATTTTACTAAACTAAAATGTTTTCTCAGGCACCTAACTAACTAATAGGGTAGAATGTAGACACAGGGGGAATAAGGACTCTTACCAATTCTCAAGCATTATTAAGGAAGTCAACTTCCTTGAAAAATAGTCCCTGGAATGCACTGCATGTATTTCAGTGACACTAAGCCACCATGCACTTAATTGCAACATTATGTTGTGTCTTGCTTAAAAAGAAAAAGGGGGGACATGCTGGCAATGTCAGCAGCCTGGAGAAGTCTTCCTTGGTTCCACAGGGCATCCTGCTCCAGTCAGCATTCTGAAGAGGAAAACTGCCCCTTCTCCCACTTCCTTGTGTATTTACGGTTTGCTTTGACTTCTTGGTTCATTCTTTCTCTCCGCCACAATGGAGGTCCCACCGAGCAGACTTGTCTGTTCTCTCTCCTCTCTCTCTTTCTCTCTCTCTCTCTCTCCCCTGTAAGAAAGCCTGACACATGATGGGCATTCAATGATAACTTTCTTAATTTTTGAATAAATGTTGGAAAATTTAAAACTCAAGGAAAAGTATATTATTTCCACGTGTGTGTATTATATACATTTTCATCATGTAGATCATAGATATGATCCACATGAGTCAATATTTATTTCTGTGTACTTTTTCAATTTCAGTCTAATTAATGAGTATCTTTCAGAAATTTAAATTGAGCAAAATCATCAAAATTACCATATTTCTGTGCTTACCTGACCCTAGCTCTGTCTCGGCACAGAGCGAATTTTGGTGATTATGACTTGATTATGCACTGTTCTTCTTCCCTGGCCCCTTGACCGGATCCCATTGTCCTGAGGAGTAAGGGGGACAAGCTCCACTTTTGTGCCCCCTGCCTGTGGCCAGGGCTACCTGCCATGCCTTTGCTGGCCCTAGACTGCATCTTTCAGCCTTACTTTCTCTTTCAAGTTCTTAACCGGTCTCAGTCCGACTGTTGGCCCCACAAAAGTTGATGGAGAATGACCTAGGTTTGTGATTTTCTCCCTCTTGTTCTCTCAGGGATGCTCCAGTTGTCATCCCTGCTGACTTGGAGAAAATTCAAACAGAAATGGAAAGAGCCCATTAGTGAGTCCAAGGGAGGCTTGACACTACATGCTCCTCGGGGCAGAGGCAGCCGACCCTAGTGACCTACCAGGCAAGACATGCTGGCCGCGACTGGGCACTGAGGTGAGTGTTTAACATGACTGTCCCTCAGAGCCATCCCACTGTGGGAGGCTGGGTCCTGGGGATCCCTGTCAGCGCCGCCTGTGGGCTTTGCCTGCACTGAGGGTCTGGCAATGGGAAGATGACCCTGGAGGGCCACAGGGCAATCACATGGGAGGTCTGACACGGGCAAAGAGAGGCAGGCAGTGGGACAGGAGGCAGAGCCTGGGAAGTCAGCCCCGCTAAAGGCTGCAAGGGTCAGGAAGGGCAGGAGGCATCTCGAGGGCCACAGCCCTGCCCACAGGGGCCTCCATCTCAGACTTCCGGCCTCCTGAATTGAGAGGGAACAAATATCTGCCTTCTATGCACTGAGCTTGGGGTGATTTGTTACACAGCCATGGAAGATAATGCACCTAGGATTAAAAGCTTTTTCATTTCTAAAAGCATACCTGGGCCCAGAGAGCTTAAGTGAGTGTTAATACAATTAATAATTTCTAGCACCAGACTTAAAATCCAAACTGTCTGACTTAAGACCCCGTGTTCTTAAATTCTCGGTTGTCATTTTCAGCTGAATCATGAAGCAAAATTTTTCTAAAAACAATTTTAATGTCATGGTGGGCCAGTGAAGCAAATTTTTATCTTCTAAATTCTACTTTTTAAAAACAGTAATAAAATTTCAAAGTTTATCGATGAGATTCTCTTCTTCCAGATATTAGGAAGAATCAAAAAGCAATCCCCTCGGCTAATAATGATGCAGGAAATAAAGCAATGGTGCTTAGGGCAAGAGATTTCATAAGTTCATTCAGAAGATATCATTTTTTATGATGTTTCCAAGTCATACCTAACATAATTATTAAGCACCTCACACAGTGTAAAATATGGAGATGGCATTGAGCATATCTAACCCAGTGGTTTTGCCTTTTGGGAGTAGAGGTCCACAGATTTCTTTGAGAATGTTTCACAAGGCACTGTTTTCCCAGATAAATGCTTGCCTGTGCGTGCACAGAGTACGCTTCGTTCAATATGAAAAGGTTGCAGAGCAGCACAGGCCTCCTTACCTGCAGGGAGCTCCTGCAGCTCTACGAGTTCCACGGTTAGAATCTTTGGGCTTACAGTTCTGCTGAAGAATCTACAGAACAAAAGCATTGTTTGAAATGGTAGCTGGGCACAAGGAACATCAGCAGTGTGTTGGGAAGAGGCCTGGATTCAGAGAAAGAACACAGATTTTCGAGGAGACTCTGTTCTTATTATCTCTTTTTAAGATTTTGTTCATACATTTTAAAAAATAAAGGTGTGTTCCTCCATGCACCAGAGAGAAGGGCTGTTCATGTTCCTTTTCCTCATGCTGAAGGGAAATTATATATGGAAAAAGGTTTTATCAAACACAAGACATTATACAGTTTGGGCATCATATTTAACCATGTTCTAGCCTCATTACCAAGAAGGGACTTAACATGTTCTTCTGAGAAGCAAAGGCATGAAATCACTGTCTGTCTGTATGTCTGTCCAGGTGACCTGGAAAATCAGGTCTATGTACAGTATACCTCCCTGAAATAGGCACATATTTGACATGAAATAGGTGTTTGAGACATGAATCAAACAGATAATTGGACTCATTTTCCACTTCCCATTGTACCTGTTGGCCCAGTGCTGGCCCCACCTGTTAGAAGAAATGGGTTTAACCTGATGGATGACCCTGGCATGTGCTAATCTTCCTTTAGCATACATCACATGCTGTTTTCCTGAGTAAGCATTTATGCATATAACACATCGGCTCACAAATACTGACCAGCTTGTGATGAATTAGTAAGGTTAAGACTCTTAAAATGTCAAAAGCAGACCTTAGTTTTAATGATTCTCAATGAGAAATAAAAAGGAAGAAAGAATTCACAGAATAATGAATCACTCTTTGATTTGAGTTATTCTGTTTATTTTTGGTTCTACCATACTAAATAATAAGCATATAGAATTTTGGGCTAATGATAAAGTACATTTTTGCATACTTTTAGTCTACTGTGTATAGATTATTGTATAAAATACAACTTTTGGGGCCAGGGATTTAGCTCAGTGGTTTTGCTGCCTGCTGCACAAGCGCAATGACCAGAGTTCGATCCCCGGTACCAAAAAAAAAAAAAAAACTTTTGTAGACTTTTAGCCTACTGTGTATGCATTATTGCACTGGAAATACTATAAACTTATACAAATCAACTTCAACTCATCAAGGATACCATTCATTGTTAGGAAAGATGTGTACTGAGCATCTCTCACATTAATTGCAGGATTTAGAAGTTGCAAGGACTTGTTAGAGCACCCGACTGGAATCCAGCAGTGACCCATGAGTTCAGAGGTGAGGATTTTGGGGAAGTGATTGGATCATGGGGGTGGGACACTATACCCATCTGTGGACTCATCCATTGATGAGTCCATAGCTGAATGTGCTGTTGGGAGGTGAAGCCTGGTCAGAAGAGAGGGATCACTAGTGATATGACCAGGAAGGATGCATTCTTGTCCCTGGCTCCTTCTCCACTCTTTGCTTCCTGGTTGCCATGGGTTGAGCAGCTTTCCTCCACCAAGCCCTCCCACCATGCCATTCTGCCTTGGAGTCAACGAACTGTAGACTGAATCCCCCCAAACTGTAAGCCAAGTAAACCTTTCCTCCTTTAAGTTATAGGGGTTGGGTATTTTGTCCCAGCAACAGGAAAGGTGACTAATACAGTTTTATTTTCCAAAAGCAGCCTGTCTTGGCACCCTCTCTGGTTTCCTGCTCTCTCTTGCCTCTCCTGCAGCCAAGAGCAGGACTGAGCTGCCCCCTTGGTGGGGAATGCAAGTGGGACACCTAAGGCTGAGGGGAGATGCCAGCAAGCTATCTACTCTAGCAATTTTTGGTGTAGTAGATACTTGATTTTTTCTCTTTCACCCAGCACATTGTGAATTCTGTGAAGGCAGATGCTCTGCACGTTGTCTTTGCAATTGGGTGGTTCTCAGAGGAGACAGTCACTGTGAGAACCACTCATGGCTTCACGTCTTTGACAGGATGACACTAACCATCTGGAATGAACGCCCTCTTCTCTAGTCTCCAGAGTCCTTATGTGCCCATTACAGGTGTCGTGGTGGTTCTTCCTCTCGGTGCCCCTACACCTCATCTGTCACTTCCGCCTCAGGACATCTATGTTTGCAGCACACATTGGATGGAAACGGCTGGGCACCAGATAGCGCTTTGCCCACTGCCCATGCTCCCATCACCCTTTTGTCTACTTTTCCCTGGATCGAATATCCAAATTCTTCATTCTACTTTTTTGTTCACAAATCTCATTTTTCATTACTGTATAATTTTGACTGTTACTATTTTCTCTGGTTTTGCCCATTTTTTGTGCTACTTTCTAAATCTAGAGACCAGAGATTTCATCTAGAAAACAGTGCCTCACTGTCTTGCTGAATCATGCTTGCTCTGCCTTCCTTCTGCAAAACATCTTTGCAGTGCACACTTCTGGCTGATTCCTGGGGCTTGGCTTGTAGCCCGTGAGGTAGAAAAGTGAAAGGCAGTTCAGGTTCTACTGAGGATGCTTCCCATCCTGTGCACTTAAGGCTGTGCCTCATCAGAGCACTGAGCTCAGCAGGTGACAGGGGTAAATGAGCTAGTGCTCCTGGAGCTTTCAGAGAGCTGGCCCGAATAATTGGTAGTTATCATTTCTGTGCCGGTTTCACTATTACCATTACCCGTCAGGCATGGTACACTCAAAAACTCAAAGTCCAGGGAGTCACTGGAGTCTGAGGTAAGGAGAAAGGAACAGGGTAAGGGGAGAAAGGTAACAAGGGGTTTGAGTGAGTTTGGGCTTCCCTGTGAGTGTACTCTTCACCATTCCATGGCTTCTGCCCTTAGGAGACACAGCCCTTTGATCTTGGGCTTCCTGGACTCTAAGACTGTGAACCAAATAAACTTCTATTGTTTATAAGTTGCCCAGTCTGTGGTGTTTTATACCAAAGAAACGGCAAAGACAAGAAATGTTAAGATAGTCCAGTTTTAAGAGATGCTTAAATATTGGTATGTTGTATTAGTGGATTGAATTTTTTTAAATAACTAAGTAGATATTTCAAAATACTCTGATTATCATTAGCACCTATTTCAAATAAAATCAGGAGTGAAAACCAGAATATAAGACTACTTTCTCACAATGATGAAGCGTATGTGGTTTAAATAGGAAGTGAATATCATCATATTAATGGTAAAGTACCAGAAATCATCTTGTGAAAATCCAGAATAGAATAAAATCACCTAATCCCATAATGATTACTTGATATTTTGGGACAATTAAAAGAAACCATGAAACAAAAATTTGGTGCATATCTATAGAAAAGAAAAGATGAAATTACTGTACCTTGTAGCTGGCATAATTTTAAGACTAGAAATGGCAAAAAGAAACAACTAAAATGTACAAAAGTTTTAAAATTCCATAAAGTAATTGCATACAAGTGAGGTGAACACATTAAATGAATAGTGTTCATTGCCCAAAACAAATGCCCAGATTTTTTTAAAAATTAGGAAGGTGGGAAGGGAAAAGGAAGAGGAAGTAAAAAGAATTAAGATGTGTTGTGTGCATGTACAAATTCCACATAATGAATGCAATCATTATGTACTGCAAACATGTACTACTAGCAATATATATATGTATGTGTCATGGAGAGAGAGAGAGATAGAGAGAGAGAGAGAGTCTCTGTACATGAGACCGACTCCATAGCAGAGATATAATCCTAATAAAACTGGTGACGTAAATGAAAACTACACACGCGCAGAGCATCGGAGTGGAGAATGAGTGCGGTGAGGACAGCCCTTGGAGTCGCTGGGCAGTGTAATCACAGAGCAGGCAGGAGAGCGCCCACCACCATGGGGCCACCGCCTGCCACTCAAGAGCAGCCCGGCCAGCCCACGTGTCCCAGGACACTCTCAGACACACTGCGAAGCGTCGCTGGGGACTTGGCATGGTCCACCTCCTGATCGGGACTGACCCTTGTCCCGAGGTACACTCACCTGCTCCTTGTCAGCCTGGAGTGCCGCCTCACCAGCCCTCGCCCCTGCCATTCTGTGACTTACACAGCAGCCCGCCCACCCCGTGACCCCCGCCTTCTTCTCTCCGTGGCCCCTACCAGCCCTGAGCCTAATAGACTGCCATGCTGTCCTTCCCTACTGGTGCTAGCTTCAGGGGGCCAGGGATATTTGTCGTTCATCCTCCTTGCTGTTGTATGAATGAATGAATGACTATAGTAAAGTGCACATTCATTTAAAAGACAGGAAACTACCAAAATTAAAACATTCGCCTTGAGTCTGTAAAGAAATGGAATATATTAGATGCACGAGCTTAAATACCACATGATTTCTCTTATATGAGAAACGTAAAGTATAAATAAAAGAGCAAAATAAAAGGTAGATGATAGGAAATAAGTAGATTATTTGCAAATGCAAAGGACCAAGAGAAGGAGGGAGAGGGGGCGAGTTGTAAGAAGGATTCAGATGTGTTGTGTACATACACCAACTACCCAGGATAAATGTAACCGTGATGTACCTCAGACATTTACTAATAAAAAATTAACATTTTACAAATATTCAGTGTTCTATGGTAATGATATTAAGATGATTATTTTTTTCTTTTCCAAACACTTTGTGGGGTGGGTTATTACCTTTATTTATTAAAACACATTTATAGCTTAAAAGGATTATTGTTCACATGCCGAGCTAGCTCATTTCCCCAATTGTTTACCAGGGATAAAACGATATAGTAGGAACAGACAGGCTCATTATGCAAACTGATGACAGAAACAAACGCACAATCCATTTTCATTGGGCTCCTCTTTGGTTTAAATCAAGTTAGACCTTCTTAGCTATAATTGTTATCTGTTTCTTGTGACCACATTTTTTATCTTCATCTTTTAATTACTATCCTTTTTCTAAATAGATCATTCAAACATTTTGATCCCAAATCAAATACCTCCAGCTACTTTCAAACGAATTAGTTAATAAAATAAATCACATCTAATCTACATGTTCTTCAATGTATTTTTCTTTCTTTCTTTCAAGTTGAATCCTTCTTTAGTGACTGACACTGTGACTGCTCTGTCTTGGTTTTATTGCAGTTGCTGGATCTAGTCATTTTAAAAGCCTGATTTCATCCAACACACGTTGTATTGAAATATTTTATATTTTGCTGAGATGAGGTCTCATCCTGTTTCCCAGGCTGGTCTCGAACTCCTGGGCTCAAGTGATACTCCCTCCTCAGCCTCCCGCATTGCTGGGACTATAGCTCTATGCCACTATACTAACTGGACTGTCACTTTATACTGAGTGATTCAATATTGGAGCTGTTTATAAGGTGGTTGCTTTAAGAAACCTTTCATGTTAGAGTGGACAAGAGACTTAGGATGGTTACCAGTAACTCCTAAAGAAGAAGAGCACCACTCTGTTTGTGAGCAAAGGAGACTGAGTTTGGAATCTAGACACCTAGCTGCATGAGAACCTAGGGTCCATGGCACATTCTGGAGTTCTTCACATTTGTGAGGTTAATCCCATGGAGAGCTGAGGGGTCTATTTCCAGCCACCTCCTGCCTCAGAATGCATCAAGAAGGAAAAAATATGGGCCATACTGAGGCTCCCAAGGAAGACCAGAGACCCTAACCAAATTTTGATTATAACCCAGTGACTGTGGACGGGGAATTAAAGTTCATGTGTTGGCTACGTTCACTCTTATCCAGGGCCCGAAGGCTGTCATCCCTACATTTTTGGCAACTGTTCAAGATTTACTATTAAGTAAAGCCCAAACACTTTTGGAGTGAGCTGACCTCGTGAAAGGCTTTGTAGCCTTTCAGAAGCATCAAACATTCCCACTCAAGCGAAAATGAAGTTGGCAGCTGTCCACCCGTGCTCAGCATACTCCAAGTGGCCGCAGTCCCCTGAAGCAATCAGACACTGGACCGGTGTGTGTGCATTTCTGCTCTTCGACCCCAACAAGCTCCATCCTAGCCACTTGGTGAGGTTGTGACCCCTTTATCTGGTCTCTTGGCCCCTAAGGGTCACGATGAACTTCTCTGACAAACCAAGTTTGCCAAAGATTGTTTGCCTGGCTGCATTCCCACCAGCAAAATGATCACACATTCATCCTGAAGTAATATCTAAATGCCCGAAAGAGAAATGTCAGTGCACGTGTGAGGTTATTCTGCATGAGGAGACCATGCCTTGGCATCAGAGATCCACCGGTGCACTCTGTGTCTGGCTGCACCTGTTGGCCATGCTGTCCCTGTCCCAGGCTGTACGTGAGAGTGACACAGAGCATAGGAAGTCCCCAGAGCTGGGCTCAGAAGAAGCTTAAGATGGAATCATCCTTCCATAGAGAAACTCATGGGGGGATAATGTATTAGTCAGTTTTCCCTTACCAACATGAAATACCTGAGAAAAATAGCTCATAAAGCAGAAAGATTTATTTTGGCTCATGGTTCTAGAGGTCCAGGACAAGATCAGCTGGTCCTGCTGCTTTCTGCTCTGGTGAGGGCCACACAGCACAGCAGGAGCATGTGAGGGAACAAACCACTCACAAGAAAAGCCAGGAGCAAAGATGAAATGTGTCCTTCCTGGAGACACGCTCTAAATAACCTAAGAGCCTCCACACCTGCTAAAGGTCCACAGAACCTCCTAGTAGAGAGACCCTGGGGACTGAGCCCTTGATACATGGACCTTTGAGGGGGCACCACACACCTGCAAACCATAGCAGATACTTACAAGTGAGAGCCAGAAATGGAATTATGCCTAAGACTACCAGGGTCGCCTGTTGTCCATTATCTTTTTCTGTTTTTGTCTCCCAGTTTAAGTGGAAGGCTGTGTTTCCTAGCTCTCTTGCAGGCGAGTGTGATTTGCAGCTAGATTCCGGCTAATGAAACTTGGATCCAAATGTTGCATGCAGTTTCTGTGTTATATGTCCAAAGGTGAGGCAGGTGTTCTCCACTTCTCCTTCCCCTTCCCTGCTGTCTGGACAGTGGATGGAAACAAGGAGCAGCATCACAGACCATAAGCCAGAAGCCACGCCTTGAGGAGAGCAGCGCAAGCAAAGAATGCAGGTCCCCAATACAGAAGCAACAGGTCATCTCAGGCTGCCTGCACTCACACTGTCATGAGAGGTAGAAATCCATCCACCCTGTTGAAGCCACTGACATCGGTATAACAGTTAAATTTGCACCTGAAACAGCAAAAAGCCAAGACCTGGAAAGGTAGATATCTCCTTCCTTTTTCTGCTGATATTCCCCAGACTGGTAGTTTATAAACAGCAGAAGTTTGTCTGGCTCACAGTTCCCAAGGCTTGGAAGTTCACGAGAGCGGCCCTAGAATCTGGCGAGAGTCTCCCTGCTGCATGATAACATGATGAAAGCTCGAGCAAGGATGGGCTGGACACAGAGGGAAAGCCCAGCCAGTCTCGGCCTCTCATCCAGGGCAGTGACTAACTCTCCCATGATCCTTCCCTGATGGCAGAGCCCTGTGATCCCAACCACCCCTCCAGGCCCCACCTCTTAATACTGTTGCAAGGGCAGTTGAATTTTGTCACGAGTTTTGAAGGGACATTCAGAACACTCCAGAAGAGAACAAATCTATTGAGCGCTTTTAATTATGTGGACAAGAGAATAGAACATAAACTAAGGTCACAATGGGATTTTTTTAAAAAAGAAGAAAAATCAAAGAAAAATGAAAAGTTTCATGGTCAATTTTGTGAGCCCTGAAGATCTGTGGGAGGGCTGCCTGTGCACCCACCCAGGGCGACCGCTGCATGGGGTTGAGATGAGCTCAGTGTCCTGACCATGGTGTCTTAGATCCTGCTGCATGGAGTACAGCTTGGGTCATGTAACTTTGGGATGCACTCAGATTCTTTTCTGTGTCATATGAGAAGATGGAT